AGCATGGAACTACCTCCACCACAAAGAGAAGCTATAATGACTGCTTTAACTTCATTTGAATTTGAACAATATTTTTTGGCGAGTTTGCATTTTCAGAGCTCTGCTGTGCTGCTGATCATTGGTTCTGCTTGAATATTGACATTTAGGGCAATACATCAGACTGACGAGACTAGATAACAACGCTCACCACATTCCAAACCTGACTGTGACTCAGTGAGAACTCATAAGAAACCAAAGTGGATTACTATATACTGCTTGGATGCCCATCTCCATGCAGCAAATCTGTTCAAGTTTGATTATATAAGGAAAGAGGATTACGGCTCAAGACAAGCGCTAAGGAACAAAAGACAGTTACAATGCCCTTACTGCGAAGAAAGGGGAAGACCAAATCTGAAACAATGGGCTATCAAACTAGCTGAAAAACGATACTAAAAGTAAAATAAATCAAACAGCCTAAGCCGACACATACCGGGCTTTCATGTGTCGCATGAGAACTCGATTTTTACCGATCAGGCAGCGATATGAACACGTTTCTAGCAGCCAGTAAACCCCAGGTGCTTATTTCAGGCGAGACACACCTTTGTCCTTCGCACGCACAAAGTCCGGCCGTACCTCCCGGCAGTTGATGCCTGCGCATGTCGTGCTCCCAGTGCCGGCGCCTTCTCCCCTCTCTGCCCGTCTGACCTTGGGCTGTGTCACCCCCGCAGCCCCCCGAGGCTGCTGCAGTGCAGCCTGCCTGCCGAACCGCCGGACCCGCCCAGCCCACGGTCGGAGGGGCCGGCTGGAGGAGACTTCTCGCAGCAGCCCATCGCCGCCCGGGCCGGCCAACGCTCCGGCCTCGGCCTCGCCCCCGCCAGCACAGCCGGGCCGGGCGCTCCCTCCGAGCTGGGAGCCCGCGGCGGGCCCGGCCCCTCCCGGCCCCCGGGGCGGAGCTCGGCGCACCGGCCAGCGCCCCGCGTCAGGCCCGGCGGCGGCGGCCCAGCGGAGCACCCGCGGCCTCGACCCGGCTGGGGCGTCCTCGCGTGGGGCCGCCCCGACAGAACCCCGTCCCGGCGGGGCCCCGGCAGGGGAGGGCCGTTCGTACCTGCACAGCGCGGCTCAGGAAGGTGCCCGCGTCAGCCGCCAGCTTCTTCACATTGAAATCCATGATGTTCATGTTGGGCGGGGGCGCTGACTCAGCCCGGGCACCCGCGGCGGCGGCGGCGGCGGCCGCTCCGGCCCGTCCCTGTGGGAGCCGCCGGGGGCGGTGCCGGGCCTGGCCCGGCCGCAGCCGATTGGCGGAGCCGCGGCGTCAGCCCAGGGCCCGGATCGGCCGGGGGAGCGGCGCCGGCCGCCGCCCCGCCCCCGCCCCAGACTGCCCTGGCCCCGTTCCGCCTCGGCCGCCTTCCTCCCTAGCCCGCCCCGCTCCACCCCCGGCCCGCCCCACGCTGGCGTAAGGGGACGGCGGGCGGGGTAGGGCGGGGTGAGGGCTGGCCCTGATGTCAGGGCAGTGGTTTCCTGCCGGCATTCTCGGCGGCCTTCGGGGTTAGCCGGCATGCTGCTTCGGGGCCGGGTCAGCCTGCCCGCCAGCCCTGGGCGAAGGGACTGAGAGCCGGGCGCGGCCTTTGCCGTGAAGAGTCGCTAGCGGGGCGGGCGGCACGGGCAGAATCCCCTCAGGCGGGCGGGCGGGGGTGACCCCCCGGGCACATCTGTCTGCGCCCCTAGCGTGGAAATCCTGCCGCTCGCAGGGAACGCACTCCGGCTTTGCCTCGGGACCAGCCTTAGCCCTAGGTTTCTTTTATTGCCTAGGGTTAGCGTCCAAAAACCACAGAGCCCAGAGCTCCAGGCACACCGCAGCTGCCAAAGGCATCCCAAGGGGATCGCGCAACTGCCACAACATGGCTGCCTCCCCGGCTTTTGCCTCGGGACCAGCCTTAGCCCTAGGCTGCTTTTGCTGGAAATGTAGCTGGAGCCCACTAGATGTCAGTGCCTCCATACAGCAGACTGCTGCAGCCCTTCTTGCTAGGCAGATAGGAGTGGGTGTCCCAGGTAGCAAGTGAGTTGTCCTGGATCACAGGGATTGATTACACAGATTACAGTCTGTGTAATGTCATATTTTTGCATAACTCTGGGAAATAGTTACAGGAACAATGCTGCAACCGATTTATTCCGATTGTGTGATGTAGTTCCTATTAAAGAATTTGTATGCAGCAGAACTCCTTTATGGAATAAGATTTATCAGAAGCAAACAAAAGGAGATATTTCTGACTGAAAGGGCATTCACTAACCTAAAAGCAATTTGAGGGAACTGGTACTAGCAAATAATGCTTCATCTCTGACTTTTTTCTCCAAAGGAGTCTTTCTACTGTAAAGCAACAGATATTCTATTCTGGCTTTGATATGAACTGAAGTTACAGCATTGATTATTGCTTGGGAAAGTGAAGGTTTAGATCTGAACACACAGTACTCTGTCTCTGCCTGATGTCCACTTCTGTGTGAGGCAGCGAGTGTTTAAGGGTTGCTGGAGAAATCAAATCTGGTCAGTACAGCACCAAGCAGTGCATACAAGGGTGGGGAAGGAACAGTATGTTAACGGGGTCACAGCAAATCTGCAGCTTTTGCAATAGCAGACTATTGCCAAAATTAACCAATGAACAAACACACTGGAGTAATGAATTTCTGACGTGGAAATGAAAGGTTCAATTATACCTTTAGAGCAGATGAAGTCATGAGCTGTGACAAACACTCAGCAGTGTTCCTGTGGTATCTAAAGAAGCTTCTCTCAAGCACATCTCTTTTAATAAGGCCTGTAATTATGTCATTGTGGAGCTGTGTGTCCTGTTTCCTTTAATTATTTTCCACTCTGTGGATTGTGCCACTGTCATTAAAATGTGGTTTTGAGGACTGAAACTTTTAATTCATTCTTTGTTTAGGAGGTACAGAGTGCAATGCTAATTATCATGCTAATTAGCCCTCACTGCTGCATAGTGCTTGCGGTATTTTATAAACTATGACCAGATTTTTAGGAAATTCCAAAAACTTATTGCTTTCTTTTTAAAATAAGCCAATCTTATAGGAAGTTCTGGGCAGCTAAAATTAAGAATTTTGTCTGAGGTGACTATGGGGTACCAAAGCCACAGCTCATAACAGTGATGCTGAAGCAAAGGTCTGTCAGAGATAGTGAATTCTCAATACCAGGCTGTGGGCCCTATAGAGAACAGATTTAGGCCTTTTGCACAAGCAAAGACAAAATCTCCTTTGGAAGATTTTGTCAATGGACAATTCAGGGACAAACTCACTCCAGAATGGATAATGAAGTGATTTCATGTCTACTTGAATTTAAAAGGTTGAAATTTAGCATTTAATTTTTATTACCAGGCACACATGGCTAGGTAATATTCTCCAAAGAGTATATGAAGTAAGTAGCTGCTCTCTGAAATTCCATTGCCAGTAATAGAAGAAAAAACACACTGGCGTGTTTACAAAAGATGACAAAGCATATGTTTGATTTTTATTTTGATTATTTCTTTCAAGCTTATTTTTTAATGTAAGTTGCTGACACTGCTATTACCTAGCATCTTAAAAGGTAACATTTCTATCAGCATGATTTTTAAAACAAAATGTACAAGTTATAATCATGTATGAGTATATGTGTCTATGTACATATCTACCTTTGCACCTGTACAAATGATCATGTTTGGATCACATGATTACTCAGTTTTGCACAATTTCCGATTTGCAAATGATCTTTCCACACATCTGTTGCACATACAGTCAGGTTATATGAATACTTACTGTTTAACCTCAAAAAAAATTTTAATGGAAACACCCAGAAAGCAATCATCTGGACCTAAAGCTCCCCAGAGGTCTCCAGGTTTCTGGACAATAACCTCCTGGGTGCGCCGGGCACGTCCCGCCCGAGTAGGGGGCACAGCCGCTTCTGGAGGCCCCTTCGCGTCCCAGCCCCGCTCCCCTCGTGCTCCCGGGGAAGGGGCGATGCCGCCTCCCCGGGCCCGCGGGGGCTGCGGCCCGCACGGCCCCGGCCGGGGGCACTGGGTGCTAGCGGGGAGCGCCGGGCAGGGCCAGCCCGGGGAGGGCATCACAGCCTCCCCCCGCCGCGAGAGGGGCCGGCACGGCACCGGCAACGGCACCGGCAATGGCAACGGCAACGGCAACGGCGCGTTGCTCCGGCAACGGCTCCTGGCGGCGAGCAGCGGCGGGCGCAGGTGGGGACCCGCGGGAGGAGTGCTGAGCGGCACTGCCCCACTGGAGCGGCGCTGAGGGGACAGTGCTCCATTGGAGCGGCGCTGAGGGGACAGTGTTCCACAGGACAGGTGCTGAGCGGCGCACAGGGCAGGTGCTGAGCGGCACTGCCCAACTGGAGCGGCGCTGAGAGACAGTGCTCCACAGGAGAGGCGCTGAGGGGACAGTGCCCCGCTGGAGCGGTGCTGAGGGGACAGCGCTCCACAGAACAGGTGCTGAGCGGCACTGCCCCACTGGAGCGGCGCTGAGAGGGGACAGTGTCTCGCAGGAGCAGTGCTGAGGGGACAGTGTCCCGTAGAACCGGTGCTGGGGGAGCGGCTCGTGGGACACCCAGGCAGCGGGCGCGGGGGCCTTTGGTGAGGCGGGAGCCCAAGTGGGCCCGGGGCGAGGGCTGGCATTGAGTGACCTGTGCCCCTGAGCCTCCCCTCTGTGCTGGGGAGTGTGGAAGTGGGAAATAGCATTGCGAGCTTTACTTTGTCCTTCGAGTGTATTCAGTTTCCTGCTGTGGAAGGATTTGCTTTCTGCAAACCTTGTTTGTGAATTCAGTGCTTAGCAATTGCAAATTGTGAATTCTTGTGGAAGATTTGAGGTGCATTAACTGTGTTACGTCTCTGCTGTGACTGGGGTCTGCTTGGTCCAGTCCAGCAGTCCCACTGAAGTGGGAACATCCTGGCATGCCAGTAATTTTTCAGTTATTGATTTGTGGAACTCTAATATATGTTGACATACATTGTCTTGTTATACAGCATTCAATCAAAATGTCATCATCATCATGGGCATCCTTGTCTTTACCTGTACATGACTGTTCTGCTCCTTCCTTGGACTTTGATCTTCAGGAAAAGTTTATTCTTCACACTGTTGAGGCAAGTTCATTCTGTTCCTGTTAGGCTTGATTTTTTAAACTGCATTTGTTTTTTTAACAAGGTTGAAATATACTTCCTAGTTATAGATGTGAAGTAGGTGATATTTCAAAAACTGGCTAAGTGACAGTGCTGGACATGGCAACATTATACTGAAACTATGGCAAAATTCTTTGTTCTTTCCTGCTTATATCAATTTGCTATGATAAATGAAGCATGATGTTTAATCTTCCAATGTGCTGTTTTCACTGGAAGTAATTAAATTCAAGAACTTGGTTTTGGTTGTATATCAGAGAGTTGCACTGTGTTACACAAGCTGAAGTCTGCCAGGAAATCTAATGCTGTAATAAAACAAGACATACACATATATAAAATAAAAAAACCTTAGGTGTTTGATTGTACTTGTTTGCTGTCAGACCAATTGAAAAGAGAGCAGTCTGCATTCTGATTCTGTGATTGTTTAAGATGGGAACTTCCTGAATTTGTTACTCATTTTCTCAATTATATGAAGGGCAATATGGATATAAGAGCTGAAACTCTTAGTCTGACAAATCCTTTTGATGGAGATGCATCTGGCACAGGCTGAGCACAGGAGAAATGGGTCCTGGTGGGTGGAGAAGGCAACACAATCCACTTTTGAAAAAATAATGAGCAGTCAGTGGAGTACTGAGTGGAGTAAACAGTAACTTTGTGCTTGGTGAAGGCATCAATCATTCTGGAGTGCTGGGGTGGAGGCAGGAGAGAGGTGTTTGGAGAAGGGGTGATGACAGGTTGCTGGTACCTGATAAGGAAGTGGAGGAAATGGGCTTCATTTAGGTTTTAGGTCTGATATGGCTCTGGACTTGCCATGGCATGGGCAGCATCATTTTCTTGAGCAGCTGGGCCTGGTGAGAAGCTTTTCCAGTTTGGGAAAAGAGGAAAGCCATTGCTGCCTCCAAATTGGAAGAAGTCTGCTGTGAAAAACAGCAACATTGGAATCTGAGCAGCTCTTGGCCTTCACCTTTACTGGAGGTAGTCTGCCTTGGCCTTGTGAATTAGCTGTGTTCTGTGAGCAAACTGTTTGAGGGTACATCCTGTGATATAGCAGGCTTTTATCCTTGGTGAAAGTCCTAAATGATTCTTTGATCTTTAAACTTTCTCTTAAAGGATTCTCTGGAGGAGCTGACTTGTTTTATGTTGATATCCTTCAATTAGCAGTATCAGTCACCTAACTGTGAGCAAAACTAAATGTTACATAATTATGAATGCTATTTCAGGGAAAAACACGTGTGCCACCCAGAGAAACAGGAAAACTGTGTTCACTGATTCAGCCAGATAAAAAGGATTGTCACAGAACTACACAAGCCATCCAAGATGGGAAGTGTTTTACTGATCTGAGCAAAGAATCTGACAGTCTAGAACACCAAGTAAGAAAACATGTAGGGCATAAAGACAGAATCAATGGAAATGTACGTTTCTCACACTATCTGAAAGAAACATGTTGTCATATAATCCATATAATCTTCTTTATATGACACCTTGTGGGAAGATCTTTTTTGTTATGTCCTGTGCACTAAGAAAGTTCCTAAAAATTTGGAAGGAGTTTGTTGAACTATGTCTGTTAAAACAGGAGGTGGACCTGAGTGAGTTCCTCTATAAGAATAGACATGTAGAACTCGCATGTGGAATGAACACAGAAACCTGATGGAGTGAAGATTGTAGATTGCTATTTAAAATGAAATGTAATTTGTCATTACTGACTTTCTTAACTCTCTTTGAGAAGCTAACAAAATGGGTGTTTATTCTGAAGTTTATTTTTTAATTTTAATCTTAATTTTCAGGTGTTCATAGACATTGCTAGTTGTCTTACAAGCATGAGGCTTTCTGTTGGTCATTAAACAAAAAGAAAGTTCAAAAAGAACAAACTCTGGGGAAGACTGTTTCCTGAGAATGGAAAGACAGTGTGACAAATTTAGGTTTCCAGTCACTTCTCTGTTCTGGGAAGCCTTCTAAGTATTTTTGCTGATAAATCAGTGTCAGGCCACAAAACACCATTCCTGTTTATATATTATTTTTTGATGACAGCAAATCTGATTCAGTACAGTCAGGAAAGATTAGGACTTGTACTGAATACAATATTTATAAGTTTGCTGTGCATGCAAATGTGGAAACCTGGATGCAGAACTGAGGCCCATGGATTGACTTTACAGATAGGCATGGGGTCAAGATGACAGAACATTATGAGGAATGTTCATACATGCAGGCCAGGAAAGGATGAAGGAGTTCTAGTCAAATTTTGATACCAAAGTTTCCAACTTGAGTTTGTGGGTTCATGTCATTAGTGAAACTAAAATGTCTTGGATTTACAGTCTGAAAGCCACACAAGTCTGCTTTTTTAAAATAGAAGTTGTGCACACACACACACAGTAGGATATTTTAAAATAAATGTTTAGTTGACAATATCATGGGCACATAAATTCTACAAAGAGTTAACTCAAATTGATTTTTGTGATCTTCCACCTTATGCTTTCTAGCTCAGTCTTCAAATTCTCCTAACTGAGGCTCCTGAAAGGCTTTAGCACTTAATATTAGTCTTTGAAATATTGTGAATTCTAGAAATGCTTTTACCCTTTAGCCACATGCTTAAAAAATACTTACCAATGGTATTTAGAGCCCTTCTAGATCCAATAAAGAAATACATAGATGTATGGAATGACCCTGGTTTGTTTCTTCAGCTACAAAGTTCCATGCACAAAATAAATTGAATCTTTAGGTTTTAATCACCAAGTAGCTTGTGAGTATGTGAGCTTTTCTAGTTATATGTACCAGGTTTACAAATGTAGCAAACTATGTGTAACCACTTAAAAACTATTGAAAAATACAAAATCAGTTATAATCAGAATAAATTTTTAATGTTTCTTGTGTTGCAGTTAAACAGTAAAAATATTGACACTTTGATGCAGGAGCTAAGTGAAAGTGAAATTCAGAATACTGTAAGTAAATTAAAATTTGATTCTCTCTCTTCTAAGCTGAATATCTGAAATTGGCTACCTTGTAGAGTCATACAATTTCCAGTAAGAGTGGCAAAGTGAGAGTATTTGTGATTTACCATCACAAAATGGAATCCTAGTTTTACATCTGAAATGTCTATCACTGTGCATTTCTGATGCTTTGTTGTGTACAGACATTAAAATAATTTCTTTGTTGGTTTTTTTTCCATGAAGAATCTCAGGAAAAAAATACTTGAAAGGGAGAAACAGATTAAAGAACTTTCATCCATGCTCCAGTGTGAAAAAGTGAGTGATCAGTTCCATTAGAATGAACATTTTCTTCCAACATACTAGATTCCCAATTAAAAAAATATAAATTTTGAGTAAAACAATTATTTTAAAGACCTGTGAAAAACATAAAATCCTGAAAGGTGTTTCCTACAGATTTATCTTAAAACCATCAAAACTGTATTCAAACCAACTAAGGATACAGTTATTCTTAACACTAATATCCTAAGGTGGCTTTTGACTTCTCATTTACTGATTTGCAATATTCTGGGGGAAAAGTATTTATAAGGAATAATATGGAGTGAGCTAAACAGATACTGTTCACAGCTGCTTTCCATGGCTCTGTTAGGAAAGGTAGTACAGACAACAGAACTAATATCATCAAAGGCTGGCAGGTCTGGTGAGAGCTCATTCATTCCTTGCACCAAAAAGAAGGGGCTCAGTGCAAAAACCAGCACTGAAAGGGGAGAACTTTCCTGTATAAGAGGGCACTGTAAAAGTTTGAAAGTTATTTTACTGACAGTTTGGCAATCTGTGTTACAGATTGAATATCTCCAGGGCATTAGTGAGGGACAGCATAGGCTCAGTTAAACCTTTCAGGGGACAGCATTGTACTTTAATATTTGTAACTCCTTGCAGGTTTTTAAGAGCCATGGTTCTTCTTTCAGAGTTTTGGTTTTTTTTTTGCTTGACCAAATGAACATACCACTTGACTGCCGGATATTAACCTCTATTGACCAGCTGGTCATAATAGAGGAGCCTTTGGGGGCTCTTGTCATGTCTTTGCCTTTATCTTGAAGTGAAGGAGCACATTTTCATGGAAACATCTCTTTGCTTGAGAATAGAAATGCTGAACAGAAAAGACTATAAAAATTCTGGAGACCCCAATGCCATGAGACTTCAGTGTTGGTGGGATCTCTGTGGCATACCGTGCCCTGACTGGAGACTACCTAATGTTGGACAATTTAGGGTGCCTACCATCTGAAAGGATAAATAATTTTCTGTGCTGTCCCCTTGTTTCTTCTTACATTAATTTCAATAAATGGCATTTTCATCAACACTTGACTGAATCTGCCTTTCTTACTGGTGTCTATAATGAACACTTCCTCTGGTACATTCTTTTAGTCTCTTGCAGTCTATACTGATAACACAATATTTATCTACCTTATTACTTCTTACTTAGAATGAGCCAGAGGAATTAAATTGAAAGAAATTTCATAGACTCATGTGATCTGAGTGCTAGTGACATAAGTTTCCTCTTCCCTTGCGATTTACATATCCCCCAAAACTGGAGTTTGAATTAAATGTATCAATAGTTCTAATAGGAGATGAAGGTCTTTGGAATTTAATGAAGGTCAGTTCAGGTCTAGTTAGTCAGAGCACAGCTGATCAGTGTGGCTCAGTGTTAGTCATCCTGCTAGCTGGATGCCTTTCCTTAGCCTGGATGTCTGAGTTCATCCTTCCAGGCCTTGTTCCTGCTACTTAAACTCAGATTAAATATTATACATAAAATTATACGTCAATTGTTTCAAGTTGGTGATTTCTGGTTAACATTAATACAGTTAGTAGCAAGCTACTGCTTGTGAATATACTTGTAGAGCATGTTTTTTCTTTTCCAGATTTTGAGGGCATTCAAATGTCAGTTAGAAACTGCAGCATAGTAGAAAAAATCCAGAGAGCATCATACAGCATTGTACAATAAATTTGTGTTTATCTGTCCTAGATCAAGATACAGAGACGGGACCACCTGTCAAAATCAGTAAAGGAAGTACAAGCTCACCTGCAGCGTCAGATTGAAAGAAAAGAAGCAGAAAATTATGAATTAAAAGTGAAAATGCAGGTCAAAATATTTTTACTTGTGTTTCAGTTAATTGGGAAAAAAAAACCAAAAACAAACAAACCTGTTTTGAAGTCAAATTATTGATAGAAGAAAAATCCCAAACAGTTAAAATTGTAACCATTTATGCTTTACAAGATCTGCCTGACCACACTATTTGAATTGCAAGCTTGTTTGTTGGTGTTTTTTCTTTTCTCAACTTATGCACACTTGTACAGCTCTGGTGGAGCAAAGTGAAACGTGCATAGATGTGTTTGCACTCACTTAACTGCACTGTCTAGAAGTTTCCATATGGTCAAGAGATAAGCAAGTCCCTATGGTGACTTCCTGTTCTAAGAGAACAGTGACAGCCACACCCTGTTTCTTCTTATTGTCTGTGAAGAATCGATAAGTCTCAGTACTGACTGAAAGTAAAACACTGATGACTAGTGCCTAATCTCACTTTGTTAAAGTAGGTTAAATTATTTCCATTTTCTGTTCTGAAAAGCACAAGTTAAATTTGAGTGTTTGAATCAGTTACTGGCTTTAGAAAAAGGCAAGGAGGAGCTTATGTGTGAAAGGCTGCAGCTGTATGTGGCCTCAGAATACAGTACATGAAACTTGTCAAGAACATAGGCACGAATGAGAAAACATTGGCTAAAAACAATGTGTTTCTAATTTCCAAACTCTTTTACTAGCATGCATCTCCTACTAATTGAATCATTTGAGATTGTCACCCAACATGTAGCAAGGCAATTTCAAATCACATGTCTATGTCTGCATAAATGTCTCATGTTTTCTTCTAAATAAAAATTGTTTTCTTGTTCTACCTAGTACAATTATAGAATTCTAACAACATTTTCATTAGATAAAATAACTTGATATGCAGCTGTATTGCCATTCAATCTCTATTTAAAAGTTTTGATCACTTTCAGAAATTGCTGAAGTCGTTTGCTAGCTTAAATCCTGGAGATGATTTTGTTAATAAGTAGACAAAAGCTTGCAAAAGCTTAGCATTGCCCCTATGAAATAAGTTCTCAATTCGAATTTACCTCAGCCACTGGCTAATGCCCATTTATTCTTAGTGTGATTCTGACCTCCTGTGGTTATAACAGGGGATAGCAGCTGTTTCCTTATACTGACAGCTGAAATCCATACATAGACTGAAATTTTGTTTGCTGTGTTTATCCACGACCTCAAGTCACATCTTTCTGTATTAGGTGCCCTATAAGTATTTATATAGGAAAACCTTTTAATATATTTGGGTATTTTTTGTAATTTCCTTTTTTTTTTTTGAAGTAGTACTTCTGCTTTTCAGTGAATCCTGGTACCTGAGGCCATCTTTCACTTGGAAAACCACGTACATTTTGCTTTGATTCTGTAAAAGTTTTGGGTCATTAGCAGGAACTTTACTGAGAGGTACCCATAATATGCATATTTTATAGCAACTGTCAATGAGTACCTTGAATAAGGCTGGCACATCCACAGATTCAGTAGTCAACCAGTAGTACATAATGTAGTGTCAGACCTAGACTAAAAGGAAGGAAACAAATGCATTAATCATTCCTACAATTCGAATATTTATCACAGAACTAAGAAAGTTGACACTGCTGGCTTACCTAAATTGCTGGAGTTTGGTGGAAGAATAGTAAGAGATATGAACAGGACTTACACTCGTCTTTCTGAAACTAATGGTCTATTGGTAGCTTGATCATTTTTGATAAGTGCATCTGAGATTCTCCTTGAAACAGTCTGGTATTGCTCTTAATGAATATCATCATGTAGTGTTGATACAATGCCTTGCACGTGGAAATTCTGCATCCATTTGCAAGAGCACACGGACATGATTAGATTGCTGTCCTTCCCCCTGCCCCTTCTCAGCCTGCTCTTTTCATCTTTGCAATGACTTTCTCCCTGTGTTTTTCTTCTTGACTGTTGTACTTAGCTAGCTCCTTGTATCAACCACAAGATTTGAGATACCAAGATTATATGGAAACAGATGTTATAAATGTAACAGCTCTTCCTAATTATTTTATAGCACAAAATTATCTGTAAGGCTTGGAATTTGAAACGTTGATTTTAATTATGCTGCAGACTCTAAAAAATAAAATAGCAGAGTGGAAACATCAAATTGGTGAATACAAGTGCCAGAAGTTAGCCTTAAAAGAAACAAGTGAGCAAAAGAAGATAGCTCTGGAAAAAGCAATAAGATCCCAGAAACAAAGAGCTCAACTCTTAGAAGAAACTGTGAAAGATGTAACCTCTAAAATAAAAGAACATGTGAGTGACTATGCTACGAGCAATGTTATGTTGTATGGTTTGAAATTAAACAAATGAAAGACTTTCACCTGTGGAAAATAGAAAAATTTGTTTCATTTTGCTGTGCTTGTATGTCTTTTGTTTTGCTGCTCATTTCTTAAGGAAAAGGTTGCTATGGGTGGCCTGAAAGCTATTACTATTAACTGCTTTTGTTTTGTTAGAATTTAGTGGTTGTCTTAAGAGGTTGAACATTTTAAGCTGTAGGAAGTAAGAGGAGTGTCATCAGCTTTTGGTTAAACCTTTCCTGGTCCTCCTGTTAGTCCTCTGTGAATAAGCACTGACTAATTCAGAAATACAGTGTACTAACTGAGAATCCATGGCTGAGGTTTGAAGTGTTAGTTTTCTTTATTTATTAATATATGATGTCTCATGTGGTTACTTAGCTTTTAGTTTCTAAGCTGCTTGCTCTGAACCTTTTCAAAATCCAAACATAAAAGTTCCTTAATCCAAGTTGTTCCTTGGAATCTTGCTTTGCCTATCAGTAGTTTTGTCTATATTCATTTAAGGGATTTTACCTAATGCTTAAATTCTTACCCAGCTAGCATTCTTCATTCTTATAATATTTTAGCACAATTTTATTCATTTATTAATTGATGTAATTTATATGTAGTAGAGATGTATTAAAGACAATTTTTTTTTTGTAAGAAAAGATTATCATCCTAAATTTTGAAATGTTGTATTCTACAGTTGATATACAGTACCAGTGTTTAACTATGTCTCTGCCTTGAAAGTAAATCTGTACGTAGATTTGATTTTTTAAAAATGTGGGGCATTTTGTTGATTTTATTTTGAGATGAGAGAAAATTTATATTGTTTTGTACAAGGGAGATCCAATAAAACCGTCTTATTTTAAATATCTCTATTATCTAAATTTTATAGAATTAAATGGCATTCTTCAGTGACATTCTTTTGTTACATAATTTATAATTTCTGCATTCTCTAGGAAGTCAAACTGGGTGAGATACTGTCAGCTTCTGATGTCTGGAAAAACCAGCATGATAGAATAGTTGAAGAAAAGACAATGTTAGAAGTTCAAATAGAAGGTCTTGAGAAGTAAGTTGGACTGTTGATCTTTTTTGTTTATTTATTTCTATGGTCACAGGGTGTTGATATTTAGTAGTGCAATACTCATTGTTGACAATGTAAATGAGTTTATTAATATTTTAAAATTCTGAGCAGAATTTGGAAGTTGGAAATAAGAACAAATTTAAGATTTTTAGCCTCCTCTCTGTTGCATTTCACTTCTTTTGAAGGTTTATTCCCCTTTACCAGTAAGGAACATATTCCTTTTCCTGCATACTTCTGATCAGCCTGAACTTGCTGGCAGCTCCTATGCAGCCTCCACATAACCACTTATTTAATAACTGATTCAACAGCTTGAGTGTTAACCCTTGTGTTTACAGAACAGAAAAAGGTTCTTTGTCTTGAAGGTCCTACTTCGGACTGGTGATGGCCAAATTATTTCAGTTTCCCTACTGCCTCACCTCAGTAGAGGATAGAGAGGGGTTCTTCTCAGATGCCATTCAAACAGTTCACTGATATAGGGAAAAGCAGAACAAAATTATCCAACCTTATTCAAACTACACAGTCAAATCTTAATGTACATGAAGGATATGTTATTTTTTTGAGCAGACAATGACAAACATCCTTTTACCATTTCTGTTGGTAGAAATATAGACTATAATTTAAACCAGCAAAAGAAACTGTTAGATGCCTTTATTCTAGGTCTGAGATAATGTTTATTTCACAGAGAACTTGATTCATGCTCACGTATTTAACAATTCACACTCAAATGGCTTGAATATTTTGGTTTTGTCCCAGAAAATCTGGCATTTCTGAAAATACTTGCAGCAGATTTTAGAATTTAACCACAGGGCAGGTAGATGACATCAGTCCAGAAATCTCTCTAGCCCACTCTTGGTCCGGTGTATATAGAAAGGCATCTAAGAAAGAACAAATACTCATTCTGCTTCCAGCTGGTTTTTGCTGTTTTCATTTCAGCTGAAAATACAAGTCTTTGCTTGAAATGTGCCCTTCTAACAAGACTTGTTCTACTAAGCAGTGTGTGGCTGACTAAACAGCAAAACAAATTTTGTGAACTTCATTAACCAAAAAAAAGCAAAAAATGAGGCCTAGCATAGTTTGCTGCTTTTAATAAAAGAAAGTAACATTCCTTAAGTAGCTAATGAGTGTTCTTAGTAGGACATTATGTGATATACCCTATAAATTCAATATAATTATATTTTTTACAGTGTGCATATGCATAGTTCTCCTGGGAGTATCATTTGGTGTTCTGTAACTGAGCTAAGACACCTTCCTTGGAGTAGAAACTCTCCTCTTGCAGAGTTTATTTCAGAATATAAGCAGATAATCCTTTCTTTGGATGTGTAAATGCATTCTCATATATATATATATATATATATACACACTACAAAGGGGAATGTGTTAAGGTTCAATTTAATTTCCATAGTGAGAGTTTTGGAAGCACTGTGTATTATAGAGAACTTGCCTGTCTTACAAGTCAGATCCGAGGCCTGATGGAAGACGTGGAAAGAAGGGAGAAATGGAGAAGAAACTCAGAAGAGGAAATTCTTGGAAAGCTAAATTCTGTTAACTCTGAAAATGAAAATATTTACCTTGAAAACAAAAAATTAAAGGTGAGATTATAAATCATTGTTGAATGGCTCTACATTTCTCACACATTAATGATCAACAATGTTAATTCTCTTTGGACCTTCTGTCTAGAGACCCCAGACCTACAGAATAAGGTTTGCCATCCATTTATAGTAGTAAGGACAAATGAGATGCTGAAAATTTTCCAGTGGAAATTTATGGCAAAGCTAGGAACAAGGTTGTCTGATGATATATCTGCTTAATCAGGATGCTGTTTATTTTACTGTCAATAACTGCACAATTTCTTAAGTGGAAATTGTTCTTTTATGTTTGTTAAACTTTCTTTCAAATGAAAGAACTGAGTTTAATTATTAATTTCAATTTTGAAAGAGTTTGCAGGTTTTGTCGTCTGATAGAATTGTTCTGATGAGCTGACAAATGAACTATAGGCTATCATTTTTGTTTGACAGGAAAAATACTTACATTACTCTTCCTAGTGCCAGTCACTTGCTGGTAATATCATATTGTAGAATGTGTTATTTTAGTAACACTCTTAACATTTTTATATTTTCTATTTTTGATCAAGGCTTCCCTTGCTACATTGGAGAAAAGTACAATATCTGTTGAATATGAGTTGCTTCATCTGCAAGAAAAAGCAAAGCTACAGGAAAACCTTGTAGAACACAGTAAAAATGAGGTGACTTAGCATGTTTGAAATCTTCAAGTATGTTTCTTTTTTAAATTTGTAAGCCATTTTGAGGAAATTATAAAGGTTTTGTCTGTAATAAATCTGTTTTGTTGTCATTGGGATTGTAATATTTTTGTAATATTGAGTATGAAAGAAGAAATTGCTATTACAGACCATATGGAAGAATAGTCTCCACACACTTACAAGTACACATTGTCTGTACTTGAAGCTCATTGAAGCCAACAAGACAAGATTGCTTTGACAAGATTTGCTTGCTAAAAAGCAGGTTAGTGACCCAGTAATCTAGATGTTTAAAAAGTTTGAGTCTGATGTCTTCAGTGGATATACTGATGATATTTTACCTCTACTTGGCCATATTTTATCTTCACGTTCCTAAGAGCATATCAGTATTCAAGTAAGCTCAAGAAATCCAAGTTCATTCAAGAAATATATATTAGGGTTATGAGTATAGGGTTATATGAGTTGTTTTATTTTGATGGGGAAATCCACAAAGAAATACCAGTGAAACAAATAAATCAAACTTATAACGGGCTTTTTATCAATTCATTTTTTGTATTTGGCTTTATTCACACAGGAGTTTTAGAACATTGATTCAAATATGTGTCTATTTATGCTATAGTATAGACACAATTTCATTGACATTCTTCACTTACTGATTTTTTTTAATCACTGACAAGAGAAAAGAAAGACATGATACAAAATCTAGAGTAGAGCCAGAGAGCTTGTCTTTGGAATGCATAATCATAATTAAAGTTGCAGCCAGCTTCAAGATGGTAGATGTAGTTCCAAGTAAGAGCCAGCCTTAAGCAGTGAGTGGAGTGAATTCTCTAGCTCAGGGCTGTAGTGACTCCAGATGGGAAGTGTCAGTGACAGTTTTATGGGGACAGAGGTGTGAGTCACACTGGCTGCTTCTACAGCACAGCTGTAGCTCATTCTCCATTGTTGATAACACACTGCTGATATGACAGTACTCTTTACCTGGAATCATTTTGTACTTGCTGTGACAAGTAGGATAATGAAAATAAATAACTTCAAATAATAAATTTTGAGATACTGCTTAGAAGTCAGATGTTTTCCTTTATGCTTCATACTAATGATTCTACCTTTTCTATATTTAAATGAAGGACCTTGCAAATGTATGTGAATAATGTATGTTGTCCTAGGTACAAAAAAGACAAATTGCTGTGGAAGAATTGAAATCCAGATATGAAACAGTCTTAAATGAAAACACAAAAATAACAGAAAACAAATGCTTAGAAGCAGATAAGGTAAGTTTTTCAGTAGTAAAGAATGTTTCCAAATAATTCTGTAGAACACAGATCTTTTCTACATTTTTGTGATCTTGTTAGAAGTCACAAGGTACTGTCTCTTGGTTTTAAATTTCTGAGTTTTACTGACTGCTATCTAAAGCTGGTGCTTTTTGGATACTACACAATTGCAAACAATGGAACAATGATTTCTAGTGCAATTACTAAGTAGTTTGGCTACTTTTTTGGAATTCCAGTATTCCTTTATCACTTTCAAAAGTGTGATTTTATTGTTGATGATTTTGAAACTATCTTTTTGACAGAACAGTTGTGAAAGTTGCACATGGAAGCAAACCTATTGTAAGTTCTTTTCTTTTTAACTAACAGTTAAGATTGAGACTCCATACAGAGATGAGTTATCAATTTTTCAGCAGATGGAGCTGAACACTGGAAGACAGCATATTCTTAAGTATCAGAAAAGAACTTGTATCTTTGTCAGCACTTTATAAAATAGGTGACATGTAACTTGTATAGAATTTTAGCTTTATTACCCACATGAAAATCCATTAAGTTTTACAATTAATTTATGGGTTTACATTTACATTTTTCTCCTGTGATGCTACTATGCAGGTGAGGCACAAAATGGAGGCTGAGTTAAAGGAGTTAGAACATGTTTGTGACTTGCTGAAAGCAACTGAGGAAAACCAGCAAAAACTTCTGGCCTGGGAAAGGATCTGTGCACAGAAATGCAAAACCCTCAGGGAGCTGGAGCTTCAGGTGGTTAGAACATGCTGATTTCTAAAGATAAATGAGAAAATTATGTGGTAAAATGTCACTGGGGCATTTTGCTATTGGTGTGTGTGACAGTGGTGAGGTTTCCTTTGTTATTTTCTTCATAAATCAAAATTTCTGGGGAAATCTTCATAAATCATAAATCAATTTCTGGGGAAATCAGATAATGCAAATAAAGCTGTTGCCAACAGTATTTATGTGAATTCATTATGTGGTGAGGCTTGTAACTTTTATAATTAATATATTTTTGATCTTTTTGAATACCTATGTCCTGAGATGTGTTGCAGAATTCTTCCCTGGAAATAAATGCAAGCCTAGATATTTTTTGTATCTAATAGAACAATTTAATTCTACATTAGTTTTGTTTTTAATGGCAAATTTATACAACACACAATATTTAAGCAGATAAATTATATTCTTGATGATGTATAACATTTTAAAATGTTTTAGTTGAGTAAGTACTTTTAAAATATGCTTTAATAGGATAATTGCAATTTTTAGCTGTATTTAACACTAATGCTTGTATTTTCTCTAAAGCCTGAAAATTAATTTTCCTGGACTTTTTTTTTTCTCTGACGTCAATTTCTATGGCAGGGTAGGTTTGGGGGTTTTTTGGTTATTGTTTTTTGTCTTTATTTTAATGTGCTTTCAAGTTAGAAGAGCACAAATGACAAAGATTTTTAAGTTAGTAGGGTGGGAAAGGGGCCTAATCATCCTGCTATGTCAGTAGGAAAACCACAGCTAAAGTACTGTGAGTCTCTGTGGTCCTATAGACTTTATATAAAACATTGCTCTTGATTTTTGATTCTTCTAGGAATGTTCATAAACTCTTAAATCAAGTACTTTAACAATAATTAATTTTGAGGTGCAAAATTTATACATAATATAAAACAATGAATGTCATTTTAATCTAACTACGTGTTTACTTGAAAAAGTGCCGAAGAACCTTTTAAGTATAGCAAAATAATTGGGAATATAATCACTAGTCTGGTGGAACAGTAGTTGAATTTCAGCATTAAGTCTTGGTGACTGATGTACTTTACACTTGACTCTATGACCAGAATTTAGGAAAATTCATTTTGGAGCAATTGCTCCTCTCCTGGGTTCATCTGGACTAATTTCTGCTACTACCAGTGTGCTGCTACCTGAACAGGCTGCAGTTCTGATAAACACAATCAGCAGATGAGCTCAAATTGCTGGATGGGACTGCCTGAGGTAGTCCAAAGAATGGTGGTGGTCATGCCTGTAAATGCTGGCACCCACAGGCTGCTGATGTGCCTGATTATTGCTAACAGGCTGCTGATGGGTGCAAGAAGGAGCAATAATCTCATTGCTACTGAGATTTGAAGGAAAATGTGTAAAAGTTTAGCCCTCTGGATGCTGGGCAGGAGAAGACTGTCTTCTTGCTTCCTTCAGCTTCTGCTGCTGTATCTCTTTCCATGAACTTATCTTTTTTTATATTCTCTTCTTTCTGAAATTCTTTGCCCATGCTGCACTGTTCTCCTGTGATAACTGTATGTCTATGCAGTGTTATTTTTATGCTTCCTGTGACTGCACTGTGAGGGAGCCTTTTTAGCTGGCCCTAATACACAAGGCTGCATGGGCAGCACATGGAGTTTTTTAGGACTTTGTTACATAGGGGGTTTTCAGCCTAAATTTTCACACTAAATTTTAATCTCCAACTTTAGCTGTATTTTACTAATTTAAGATAATTATACAAGGTACAATAATACAAAATAACATTTACTTGATTATAGTATAGCGTTTGTCTGAATAAACAGCATTTATCTGAAATTACAGTTAAATTTTTTGATGGATTTTAACAGACAGGCTTACTTTACTCCAGTAAGATCCTGAATACAGGTCTCTTCAACTCTTCAACTAGAAACAAATTGTCATTTTCACAGGATAACCATAGTGTAACTTCTATGGGCAGTCTTTGCTTAGAAGAAGAGATCTGTAACATTCAGAAGAAATATGGAGATCTTCAAAGGTAACTTGAAGAATCTGATCAAAATTCATTCCTACACTTTTCTGCTATAGTGAATTATGATGCCCTGATCTGTTTTGTGTAAAGGCAATTAGGACAGGTGGAATATCAGAATGAAGAACTTGCTTACCAGCTCAGGAAAGAAGATGAGAGTCTTCAGAGCAGTAAATTGCAGCTTGAAGAGAAAATTGCAGAATATAATGCATTGACCAGACAACTTGAATCTGCTTTGGAAGAAGGGAGAAAAATGGTATTGGCGATTTAATATATCTCTCAATCTTGTTTGCTACTTTCTATTTAAAAACAGCATTTAAAATAAGATTGAGAAAAAAATATGGGACAAGACTATTTTGCATGTGGGAAGAAATACTAAACAGTTACTGTGAATTTCTTAATGTTTTAAATATGGATGGAACAATTCAATTTTTTTGTCAAATTTGGATACTATGGAAATAAATACCAAGTTTCAATTTACCAACCTTTTATTATCATTTTTCAAATTGATAAATCAAAATTCTTTAACCACCTAATATTAAATCCCACACATATGGCAAAAAGTTTTTGTACAAAAGCTTAATCTTACCTTTTGTTTTCTTTGTTATAAAAGCGTACAAGAATGTTGGTGTTAAAATCCCTCTCTTTTTAGAGGAAGAGTTTGCATTCTTTCTATATTAAGCAGAATTTTATCTGTAAAATCATTTGTAGAAATTATGCAAACAGTAAATCAAATTCAAGACAAAATGCAGGAATTTGGATTGTATTGAATTATATTAGTTTAATCAGAAAAAATATATGAAGTTATAATTTCAGATTAAAAATGTAGAAATAACTATCTGATTTTTTTTCACTACTGTCTGAGGATATTTCTTTGATCTTCAAAAAACTGAAATTTTAACTTAACTTGAAAATAAGCTATAAAGCGTTCCACTCCCACTGTATTACAATTTTTTCCAAATTGAAACAGTTTTCAAATTTAGCCAGAATATTTCTCAGGTTTGTTTAAGTCTTGGACATGGGAAATAAATTATTAGATTAAAGAATAGGAAATAGAGCTATTAATGTTAAAAGATAAGAAAATAATTTGATTTGGGGTTTAAAAGTAAATATATATGTAATACATATATAATTTATAAATATATTTTGTGTGTATATATATATATATATATAACATATATAGCCTTTCTCTCTCATTACTTTTATAGGTAGCTGAAGAATGGGAAAAAATGTCATATAGAGAACAAGCCTTTCAGACAAAACTGATGCTTCTTGAAGCTGAAGTGAGAAAGAGGCAAGAAGAAAAAAAACAACTCCTCTGCTTATTTCACCATGTGAGTAAATAATGTTTGTGATTCAAGAAATCACGACGTCACCATTTACAAAACCAAGTTACTTTTACTGAAAACTCACTACTAATACAGTTGAGACACACTTTTCAGAGCAGTAAATTAATTCAACTTTACAATATACTTTGTACATTGACATTTCCCACCAATCTAACAGAACTCCAGTCTAACTAAATCACTTGAATAATATTGAGTTTACAACTCTTACTCAGTCAAGTTTACACAGCAAGACGAAAAAGAAATAAAGTATGAAGTTGTATTTTTCCTCAGATCAATTGTGTTCAGTAAGCATCTCTACATTTGATTAGATGCATAACAATACCATAATGATGTAGTGGTAGCTTCTTTTTTTTCCTTAGTTAATGCCAGTAATCTGAATTTATAATTTTTATAAATTATTGTAGGCCTTTTTTTGATTTTAAGTTTATCCAAACATATTCAGTTTGGTCCTGACAACATAAAGAAAAGCTTCTATCCTTTGTAGCTTTTTTTAACACCTTTGCTTTTGTGGAGCCTCTGAAAACATTTACAGGTAAATAAAGCTATAAAAATTAGGTACTTTGTGTCTTAGATTATTATTTTCATTGCTTTATATTTTCTTTCTAAGTTTCTGTGCATTTTTCTTTTTTCATTAGAATGAAAAACATCATGAAGTACATCTGAAAGAGCTGGAGAACCGCCTACAGAAGTCAGTGATCAAGAACCAGAGCATCCAGAATTATGTGCAGTTTTTGAAAGATGCATATGTAACAATGTTTGGCTGAATTCTTTAATCTATTTTATAGTAGAGAAACTTGTCAGGATTGGGCTCCCAGTCTTGCTGAAGACTAAGCCATTGAGGCCTTACATTATTTTGACAGATTAAATTTTTTGATAATTCTTCCCTAGGAAAACATCTGTTGTGGGCAGGAGAAGCAGGTGAGCCATTGCTGTGTCCCAGGGGCTGGGCACACGTGGGGAATGGAGCTGGTGTTGCTGACAGAAACCTTTGTGTTCCCATGGCACAGCAGGGCAGGGCTGAGTGCCCGGCAGCAGCAGCAGGTGTGTATGTGTGGGTATGCACACAATGTCTGTCAATGTCCTGGCCTGTAAAACCTTACCTGAGTCCTTTTAGTCCATGGTAAATGCAAATGACCACAGATTATCTTTCAATTCAATGATATCTAACCTATTAAAACAGACAAAAATTGAGATCATTAGGTTCCTTCCCTTTTTTCCCCTGCAGTTTAGTCCCAGTATAGTCCTACACTACATGGAAGAGTTGCCACCACAAGGCTGTCCCATCCAGCCACTTTTCTCTACATCTCATCATTATGCTCAGGAATACACTATAGTGGCATTTTATAAATATAAGTAGGAAAAATTTTTAGATACAGGTATAGTTTAAGCTCTGGATGTGCTGATATACCCTGGTGACACAGCTCCAGTGAGATATTTAAGTATTTGTCTGAGTTCAAGAGCTGCTCTTCCATAAGACTGACCTGTGCCTCAAGTAAAACACATGTCAATATTCAGCTGATACAGGATTAATATAAGAAACAATTCCTGATCTAATTTCAGTTCTAAATTCTAAATTCTAAGTTTTGTAGACATATGCTATGATTTGTTTTTTAAAAATAGTACCTTCAGTTAAATATATCTGATTTACAACGTGTACTTAAATAATATAGATTTTTTGACCAAAACCTTTAGTTTGTTTATGCATAGGCAATACCCATTCTATTTCATTGTTAGTTGTTAGTAATGTGTTGAATACAGACCTTGTTTTTTTGCAAATGCTTATCCATCTTAACAAATACTGATGTGTGCTAATGATCTGTTTCTGTGCACTTTTTAAAAATAAAATTTTCATTTATTCTATATGACATGTTAGTAGCAAATATTTATTTTAAATTTGGGGGGTTTGCATTACACACACACACACACAAACATTTGGATTAATTTAGTTCTGATTGTGCTACTTATAAAATATCAAAAAACCTTTTTGAAAGTCATCATGTATGAAGGAAAGAGTTCAGAAATAAATTGTTCAATCCAGTGCATGAGTGGTTTTCCAGAGCTCATACTGAAAAACTGTACACCTTTCATTAGATTTTGGTTTTTTCCTTTTTAGTTTGTTTTGTTTCTTTTTATGGTTCTCCATTACCTTTTTGTTTGTGTGGGGGTTTTTTTCCATGGTAGAAACAGGGCTGATAGTCACAAGGATCATTTGGTTTTACTCAGCTCCTTTTTGAACTGGTGTTAGCTTATCATGTCTTTTGCATTTTAAAAATTAATTTAGGACAAGTTATTGTGGATTGTTTCTTTTTAATAAAGAAAATAATAAAATTTTGTCTAACTACTGAGGGATCTAGCATTTACTTGAGATTGCTGCTTGTGTTTTTATTAACTGTGTAATATATAGCTAAATTAGTTCTTGCCTTGTTCATTTTGCAGTGTAGAATTCTGTATGCTCTGCCACAAAATTCTTGGATACAGCTGTACTGATTTGACTGCATTTTGGGATTCTACTATTTTTCTTCAAAGTAATTTTTACCATCTGCATCACGTAGCAAAGTGACACAGTTTTACAGTAAGAAATAGACTAATTATGCTTGCTTTTGGGGGTATTGTCATCTCTAACAATTTTAGAAGCCTTTGGTAAGGATGGTGTTGCCACCATTTCACCTCTCAGCCTTTTTTCCAATGTGATTTTATTTTGTCATTTCTCAAAAAAAAAAAAAAAAAAAGCTGAACATGCTGTTGCAGTTTTCAAATATAGTCAGATTAAACCTCTTATTGCTGTAAGTATGGACAGAAAAAGTACAAAACACAAAGTTCCTGGTCCATGCTGTGCTTGCTTTTGTGATTTTATTTTTGGTCAGATACTGTTCTGTCACAGGCCCCTTAGCAAGCAGGAATGTTTCTCTTCTGCTGTGTAGAAAGTCCTTGGCCAGAAAAGCAGTAAAACCCAGAGATTCTGTATAAAAGTTTGACCATGCTTTCAGTGATGAGCTCTTCCAATAGAAAGAGATTTTAGCTGGTTAAGAACAGAGCAGAGAAAGAAAAAAAGATTCAAACACTACATTCTATATCCCAGTTTATTTCGATTTCCTAGTAAGAAGCCATTTTTACTGTAGGCTTACTAAGGTACACAGTCAAATGTACACTGTGTGTGTTGTAGAATTTTTTTGATTTTGAAAGGATTTTGTAGTAATTTTTTGCAGAAGCTGGCTCAGTATGATCCAAGGTATGTAAGACAACTCTTGGCTGAACTAATGCCAAGTGTTCTTGTAAATCAAATCAAAGCCACCTGCAGTGTTGCAATATCCCCCCTATATCTTGCTGTATTGCTTTATTTGCTACCCATGTTAATTAATTTGTTCCTTTTTTTTTTTTCTTCTTTTTTTTTTTTTTTTTTGCTGTGGAGTTTTCCAGGAACAACTTCAGTCTGATTGCTATGGATCTGCTTTTAAGTCAGTTTATTGAGACTCTGGCAGCAGAATATGCAGAGTTTAAAAGGATACTTCAGTCCTTGACTGGTCTGCACACACAGAAGGTAGCCAGGAGTTAAGGAGCTGTTAGGTGAGGATGAGTGTGTTCAAACCCCCTTATGAGCAGTGTGCGACTGCTGGCCAGGCAGGCATCAGCTGGGCAGGAAGAAACAGGCTCTGGAAAGCACATCTGACTGTTGCTAGTAGCTTTCAAAACCACATTTTAAAATATGGTTCAGAGATGACACCACATTTGAACCTGTAGGGTGCCCCTTTGTCAGCGTGGGATACACTGCTGCACACATTTCATAATGGGACAGGATTTCAGAGTTACAATAAATGAAGTGATTTGAGGTTGTGACAGATTCACTTTGGCTAGTACATTTCCATATTCTATTGCAATCTTTTGGCTTTAATTAGTTTAAATTTGTAAGCATGTAGAGTCCTGAAACTGGCAGATCTCAAAGAGCTGACCTGGATTCCCTACTCCCTACTGCAATCTTATATGCTTTAGATTTGTTAGTGTGTTGGAACACACAATTTAAACCAAAGAGCATAAGTCTAGGGCTACTTGGGACCCTACCCCTTTAATCCTATCTGCCAAGTAGTTTATTTGTGGCTTCAGTTTGACAAAAGATATTTTTTGTTTCCTGTCTATGTCACAAAAGCTGCTATAAATTCTCCTCTAGAATGAAGTCTTTCCAGTAAGAGCAGAGATACTCAATTTTGTACCAGACACATGACTCCCATGGGGATATCTTTATAGAAGGTAGCCAGTGATCACTGAGCTCTGTATGGATGAGTCCTCAGCAGAATGTGATGGGTTACTAGCCCAGTAATCCTTTTGAGAAGTTCTTTTGCCTATTTAATAGTGAATAAAATCAACATTTGGATATCTGAAAGTTTAGGGAGGGACTGCAGCTCAAAGTGTCTTCTGCTAGAAATATGTCCTGTATTCTGACTCAGAAAACAACCAGATTAGACTTTTTGTGACAAAATCACTTTGCTGATGATCTTCCTACAGGAGGAGTGACCTGGTTTCCTCCACTGATGAGCTGTTTAGCAGTGCAACATCTGTATGCAGCTCTCTCTGCTCTGGGGGCCTAGAGCTGGCCAGCACAAACAGGGATCAAAGCAGGGCCCCATAGGAAAGGGTTGTGCAGCATGTGAAGTAGACATAATGATTTCATACACATTTTTTCTTTCTCTTCAGTTTCCTGTGGATCACTTTAAGGTTGACATAGCTCAAACTTGTATCTTAAGGCCAGAAAATTGAGACCACTATGTTGATGTCCACCAACTGGGAATTTAAGCAGTCAAAACCATGAAATTATTGCAGCATGCAGGTTGTGCATGTGTTTGATTCAGAATATTTTCCTGTCTACTTCTGGCTGAACAGCAATCACACAGCAGCTGTCACTCAGTAGTAAAGCTTCCAAAAGTTGAAGGTAGCATGTTTTATATTGCCATCCATATCTATCTACACCCTTCACTCAGGATTTCTGATATAATGCTGTTGGCTTTCAACCTTTAAATAAGGCTGTTACAGCTACTGAGTCCAAAGGAAATCATCCTAGTGATAAGTAAATCATCCCCCCTCAGAGAAATCTAGTGCCTTTAAAGAGCTGGTTTTATTTGGAACATTATATGCTTCCAGAAAGTAACTGACTTTTTTCTTTGAGTGTTTGACAGACCAGATCAAATACCTGATTAACATATTGTAATGCTTTCTTGGCACATTAATCTACTTAATTTGAAAGCAATAGGGAAAAAGTAGAGACTTTTATGTGTAGAGACTGCTGCAATCCTGCCTCCCTCTTGCAGCAGAATAAACAGCATTTTGTTGGCTGTAAAACTGTACCTTCCAATTTATTGACAACATAAATATTTCATGTGCCACTCTGCCTTTCAGTAGTGCTACTAAAAATTGAAACCAGGTTTTACTGGTTAGGTTTTGCATGCTCTTCATCCAGTTCAATCTTTCAAACAGATCTTTGATAACATCTAATTTCTAGAGCAGCTGTTAAAGATCCAACAACCATCTCCCAATCTCCCATCAACGTTTCAGGCATGTGGAGCCCTTGTTCATTATCATTGTGACCACATTCCTATTCTTAGCAAGTTTCTCCTTTGCAGAGCAGCAGCCTACTCTACTGTGGCAACAGTCCACTTACTAATTTACAACTCCACCCACTAAATGCCACTGTGAATTATAAACTACTGAAGTAAACCATGTATTTTTAACAGCCTCAATTTTACCATCATGGCTGTTTATAAAAGTCAAAGACATTTTTGAAGGGCAAAAATGCTAAGTTGGCATTTCAGGTTGTTCTCAGGACATTCGCTGTTCCTCCACAGTAAGGCTTCCCCTTCTTCTCTCTCCTTGAGAAAATCAGTATATTAATATGCTGCAAAGCACAAACTGGTTTATATTAACATTTCACTCTCTTTCTAGAGGAAAAAATCTGGAGAAATCTGAAGAAAGAGCCAAACTTAGGATCTTTCAAGTATTTCTGCAAATCCTTTACGAGAGTGGAAAAAATATCCAGTTTCTTTCAGTTTCAAATAAATTTCCTTCTTTTATTAAGTCTTGTTTTATTAATATTGTGGTTCAGGAGAAATTTCTCATGGATATTTATGAACAGACAAAAATAGAGTTCAAGTTCTGTGAGTGTTCAAATATTGTTCTGACATTTACTGTTGTCATTCCAATCCTTTGTAACTCAATGCAGTTACAGTCAAGCACCAACATATTGTGAAGCATGTGTGATGCAGGAATAGACATTTATATATTTCTTTGCATACTTGTATTTCATGGGAGATTTCCCCAGACAGGAGCATTAAGAGGTGGCAGCCCTGTGGACTTCTCTTTCCGTGTGCACATGTAATAATGGAGGGGAAATCTTGTCTTCTAGTGACATGTTTCTAATAGACCCATCATTCCAAGATCTAAAGCAAAAAGAAGCTCAACAGAATGAAATAAATCCCAGCAGCAGAAACAAAAATTTCATGCTGCTGTGTAGCACAAGATAATCTTTGAATCCTCCTAGGTACTGTTTGTGGATAGCATTCTTGGCAGGGTTCCACTCATGAACTCAGTGTGTTTGAGCACTACTCCCATCTGCT